TTTGAATGTTGGTTTTAATGTAACAAACATGGAATCGAAACCAAGAAGGATAAGAAAGCCCGACTGGACAGAGGAACAGTGTTTACTGTTAGCCCAGTTAGTGGACGAACACAAGGCTATCCTTAAAGGAACATTCGGGCCGGGCGGTCGATCTATAGCGTCTTATTAACTCACTGTCATCCATTGTCTGCAACACATTTCTTCTCCCTCTTCATCGTTCTGTCATTTTCTCCTCTGCTAAAGAAACTCTTAAGCCTCTTAAAAGTCCTCGTCCTTACTCCTAACAATTTTGACCTTAAGACCTCTTTTAAGGGTTAAGATACTTTCTGAATTACTTTTTTCTTTACTTTTAAGAGTAAACGCCCACATTTCTAAAAATGTTCTTAGAATTTTGTCACTAGGAGCTACTCTTTGCATTAAGATTCTTTATGAATACGGGCCCTGATGTTTTAAATATGATAATCAACCAAAAAAACACATATGCAAACTTTTTTTCAGATTTCTAAATGTTCAATAAACTGTTCCATTTAAAATAAAAAGGGCTTTCCAGCCTATTAATTAGTATGCCAGGCTTTACAGTGTTAAGCACATTGAAATAATACATACAGACAGTAAATGTTGCATTCCACTCTTCAAAACTGTTGAAATCCTATTGTGTATAAGCTTGTTGGTATTCACATGAAAGTTGAAGTTCATTGAAATTAAAAAATTGAGTAAATGCAATGAAGAAAAATTGTTTAATCAACAGAAACTCAAAATATTATGTTATCTGAACCACATAAATTAAGTTGATTTGACAAAAGAAAAAGAACAAATCAGGATTTTTTTTCACAGTGCAATAAAATGGAATCAAAAAAGGCAATATAAAGATATTCTATTGATTGACTGATTGTATGAATCCTATTGTATTAAACCAAGTCTGTTTGGACTTTAATGGTTTAGCCTCTGCAAAAAACAGCAGATGTCCAGCAGATGGTGCTATAGATCAAATTCATAACTGATACAAATTAAATAAAAATGTTTCTATAAATGATATACTACAGAATGAAACAATACGTATATACACAAAAAACATAAGATAAAAAATTGAATTGACTTTTGTTCATAAATGTTCAACATTTAACCTGCCACTTTATATCCTCCTCCCTATTTCTCAGAAATTGCTAGATTTAACATAAAAATCTTACTATACGATTGTATGTAAATGTTCTTATATGAATTGTATAAGAATTAAGTAAAAGATAATGTAAAGTTATGCTAATAATAACACTAATTAAATCCTGACAGGCCATTTAACACTCAGAATAAAATTAATCTTAACACACAGAGGTCACTCCCGTGGACAGCTCTTCAAAACGCTATTTTCTTGCTTATGCATGGTTTTGATGGCATAGTTGCACATCAGACACTACTGTTGACACTAGTGCATCATCCTATACACTGCCACCAAGTGGCAAGCCTTTGTAATTTTAGTTTTCTCCAAACTAAGCTGGCAGATGGCCAGTCCGAAATGCCAAGTTGCTCCGGAATATCCATACATTCCAATCTAAGGAGTCATATCATTGTTACATTTTCCAAGTATTGAATTTGGTTTGGGAGGAAATTCTGATTAATCATCTGTCAACTAAATTGGACATCATGCATCTCTATATTTCAGCTACAATTAATATATTACTCTGACTGGTCTCGAAAATGCTTCATCTGCAGTAACTTTTTGGCTGTAAAAAAATGTATGTGTTATTAGATTGTAATTTGCAGTGACTTAGAAAAAGTAATCTGATTACATAATGCATGTTATACTTGTAATGCGTTACTTTACTCATAACATCAAATATTCTGATTACGTAATCCACGTTACTTGTAATGATTTACTTGTTACATCAAAACATATTCTGATTAGCCAACATAATGCACATTACTTGTAATGCATTACTTTAATCATACCATTAAATAATCTGATTATGTAATGCATGTTACTTGTAATGCATTGCTTTACTGGTTACATCAAAAAATATTCTGATTACCGAATGCACGTTACTTGTAATGTATTACTTTACTGGTTACATCTAAATATATTTTAATTAGCCAACATAATGCACGTTACTTGTAATGCATTACTTTACTGGTTACATCAAATATTCTGATTACGTAATCCACGTTACTTGTAATTAATTACTTTATTGGTGGTTACAACTTACATAAAAACATATTCTGATTAGCCAACATAATGCACATTACTTGTAATGCATTACTTTACTGGTTACATCAAAATAGTAATCTGATCATCACGTGATGCACGATACTTGTAATGCGTTACCCCAAACTCTTCTTGTTTCAGATCAGATGAGAGTGAAAACAGCTGAACGCTAGTTTTCACACAGTCTGAAAACGTCAATAGATCAATATAAATTTCAGTCTGAGGTTTTCACAGGGAGGAGAGCTAATTTTGTCCATTTTGACCATAATCAGAATTATCAGCTACTAAAGGTAAATCGATGTAGGCCTACTGCGGTAGACTGGAGGGAGCATGATCTATATAGTCTGATTTGGGTTTCCAGAGTTACACATACCTTCACCGATTGTAGAGATCTTTGATGGAATGGAATCATGTCCTCATGTTCTGAAATCAAAGACGCATGACATGCAACTGGTTTGAAGTCATTCTCTGTCTGCGGGAACAAACTGCATTAATTGAAGCTGTATAATATATATTTTTTATGTATATATTTAGTTTTCACATGATTTTTTATATAATTTTTTATTAATTGATTTGTTAAATACACCCAGTATCACTGTGCTATTACTGTATATGTTACAGTATCTCTTCAGTTAAAAACATAAACGCATATTGTCCACTCAAGTGGACATTTGAAAATCTAAAAAAAAAAATAATAATGGAAAAAGTTCAAATCTTCTTTTTCATGTCAATAAAAACACATAGAAAAAAAGTCCTGACTGTGGTGCAATTTTTATTACAGTCTGAAGACTGTTTTGAGTTGCAAAATGTCTCCAACCAAAAAGTTAAAAGGCCATGTGTCCAATCAATTTCACCTGTCGCTTGGTAGCTAGTCAAATTAGTGTTTTAGAACAAATTGAGAAAGTATCTTCGGAGTGATGTTAACCAAATACCTTATTTTACTCCTAATAAGAAAACCGCTAGCCTACTCTTAAAAGTCCATAAAAAATTCAAGCGGGAACTCGTGGTGAAAATGTCTTCCGGTTTGGCCTATAAATTGACGTCATTTCCGAACAGATGTTTTAACCTGTTCGGTACCTCTGTTTCTGTTGTTCATACATTTCACCACAAGGTGGAGATATTATCAAAGACAAAGCTTTTCGGCGAACCTGAGAATCCACGGACCGTCTCTGTTTGTTCCCACATTCTACCATAAGAGGGCGACATAGGCTACTCTTGTAGTGAAGGTCAGAATTTTAACATGATGGACAAATTCTGAAACAATTACAAGATGAGGGAATTTCACAATGCTAATTGTCAATACAATATTGTTATTTGTATTGATGTTTTTAATTAGCCTACTCTTTAACTGTAAAACTCCTTTGGTATATGTAACGATGAGACCATCTTGTTTTATTTTGTTCTAAAAAAAAAAACACAAAGCAATTGAGTTACTTTTTTTTTGCTTTAAAATAATACTTTTCTAATATTAAATATTTTTTAGAAGTAAATCCACAGCAATATAGATTAATATTCCGTTGCATCAAGGATAATTAAAATATTAAACAATTAGGTTTAATATTTAAAATATTAAACAAATAGGCTAAAACGGCCCGTTCTGTCTATTTAAAATTAAACCAGATTAGACAAGCAGGGATATCCATTTCGTTTATTTTTTGTGCAATAATTCAAACTAGATAGGCGGCCTAAATATAGCCTTAATAAAATTGTTAGATTGCTTGGCATCAGTCTGGCCAATCTGAAACACTGACATTTATATTATATTTCAACTATCTTTTTTTAAATTGCTGCAAAAATATAAAATCATCACAGGTTTTGAATGCATTTTTAGCCTATAGTCTATCTATTAGGCCTACGCTTTTTTTATTTAGATGAAATAGCTACACTTAATCGTTTAAAACAATTATTTTGTCTACGACTTTAAAAATATAGGTCTACAATACATTTAAATAATTTAGCCTATTATTCTTATTATTTCTTAAAATTCTGTTTTTCGCTTTACAATGTAGGCTACCAAAATTTAGTAGGATAATTATGCGGACTGTAAAATAAGTAGCCTAAAAACACCGAACTAAATAAAAAGAGTCGGAAAAAAAGCATCGGCGCAGAGGAATTTATCTAAAATTTATTGAAACACTATTTATGTAGGCTAAATATTAAACAGACCGAGAGAAGGGCATGTGTTTTCATGCACCTCATCAAATGTGCATTATGAACATTGGAGTGCTCGGTTTCTCCGTTAAATGAAGGCACACTGTCAATCCGACACTGCTGTTTACACTGTTTTATCTGCGGGGAGAAAGTAAACACTTGAGCTCTGGCGAGGGGATTATGTCTCCATGGCGTCGCGCTTCAATAGTGCAGCTATACACTCCGCGTGCACGCGAAAATACAGTGGACTCCTGCTTTGAGACTGTCTCTGTTTAGAAGCTTTCGAAAAGAGCTTAAAATATCATCTCTCTTTAGCTCACTGCAGATACGACTGTAAAAACTGTCATATTGTAAAGACATATTGTTCTGAAATCATTAACAATAACAACTTTTTAAATATTTAGCTATTGCTTTTTGAAAATATAGGCTACCTATTTATGAAGTCAACGTTTTGTTTAAAAAATAGGCTACATTATTATTAATTTTGTTAAAATTATTGTTGTTGTAGTAGTTATAATTATGAAATTGTTTATTGTTAAAGTTGGTTAGATAACCTATTATGCAAATGCCCATTTAAATATGCCACAATGGGCCAAATGATAGAATAAAAGCAGATCAAGAGACTATTTTAATGCACAAAACAAGCAAAACGTAAGAATAAAATAACATTTATTTTCTGCAAAATTTACACAGAGAAATGTACACGTCTCAACTCAGCAATTTCATCCAACAAACAATCGTTTTACATCTTTTTTTAGATTCCTTTTGATGATTTTTTTTTGTTGTTGAGAAAATGACTTTGACAAATATGACCTTATCATCAAGAAATGCAATATACATTATTTCGTCGTGTAAAACACAATATATATCACTCACAAAGGGAGCACAAATGTCTACTTGAGCCAGTAACCATATTGAATCCAAAAGAACTTCTGTTCTGTTGAATAAACATGGCACGATTTTACAGACACTGAGCAGAAAAAAGATGGAGTATAGACTTTCCACAATAACAATAATGCTATAGAACAGTCCCTTTTTTTTTTCAAACGATGAAGCAAAGTATTGTACGATCATCACACGGGGGCGTAATCCGTTTGGTAAATAATCTAAATGGATTGTAACAAACGTGAAGGATTTTAAAATACACAATTTACATTACTTGAAAATACTATGGTTACTCTGCTAAAGGTCTAAAGTAATTCACCCCGGGTCATTTTGCGCTGTGGCAGTGTCAGTAACGCATCCAAACTACTTTAACCTTTACACGTAACCATTTTCTTTTTTGATTAATCACAAACTTCAAAGAAGCCACGACCACCAAACACATTTTTTTTTTTTTACCTGGTGATTAAACTAGACATATTTTATATACAGAAACACAAGGCCTCCCGAGTCTTTAGGGATGAGGAATCTTCAGGTCTGGGAGTCTTAAACACTTTTGTCTACATTTGGAAAACACTATCTCACTGTTTCTCTGGAGTGTTATTGACTAGAGGACCGTACAGTCCATTCGTGTAGCTCTGATCTTTATGCAAGAGAGTCCTGTCTCTGATCAAGTCACTGAAGGCATAGTCCATTGGCGGCCTGAAGCCCAGTGTTGGCATCAGACCTGTGGTGGAGTACGGCATGAAGGCCAGGCCTCTGCTGTGAGCTGAATATGCCAGGCGGAGTGGGTTCAGGCCCAAATGTGTACTGAGAGGATACGTGCTCGGGTCGGAACCAAAGTGTGGCGCATTGGGTTGCAGAGGGGAGAAGGCAGATCTGTTGCTGAGCGTCATGGTTCCAGGTAACACAGGCCGCGGGGTGGAGGACATGTGTGACTGTGCGCTCTGCAGCATGCGCTCCGCAGTCCAGGGCTCCTCTGGGCCCTTGGCTTGGCCGCTGTTGTTGAGGATTTGCTCTATGGCCTGCACCACATCTTTACCGCATCCCTGAAGCACAAGCTCCAGGACGCTGCGCTTGTGGTTGGGGAAAACCCTCGTTAGGATGTCGATGGCGTTCATCTGTCGCGATGCTGTGGAGGAGGGCGAGGGCTCCTGGTCGTCTTTATCCGTCTCCGAGCCGGAGTCTGAGCCAAGTGGACTGATGGAGCCTGGCGTCTCCGAGCCGTCTTTTAATGGTTTGGCTATCGGGGAACTCACGAGGGACTCTCGGTCACCGTTTTCCGAGCCCGAGCCGTGACGCATATCTGGAGACGACATTCCTGGAACGGATTCGGTGTCTGTGGACACGGACTTTCCAGCCGCTTGCTGTGAGGTCATCGATCCTGGTAAATGCGTCTTGGTGAACAACTCGAACTTTTGGATGTTTGATTCTCCTGAAATAGATTGATGCACGTCAATAATTGCCATACACTAATAGCTTTTTTTCCCCCCGGATTGTAAGTAGATGAAATTAATATTTATGAGAGTGAAAGGAATTAAATTTAATGAACCTACACCGTACTGTATACATGCTAAATATGCCATTCTTTGAAAATAAATTTCAATGGCACTTTGCAACACAATAAGTTGGATAGATTAAAAAAGTTATTGTTTCATTAAAGGTTCTTCAGATCAACATATTGGGTTCTGTATAACATTGCACAGCAAAACAAACAAAAAAGTACAAAGCCTACATGTTTTTTCTATATACATTCTAACTGGAACCTTTAATTTCGAGAATTTACATGAGAAGAATCTATCCACCTACCAGAGTTTGTTTCGTTGGAAACTGGGCCAAAGACCTCATAGTTTTGCCGGGGAGGTATGATGCCGTTGGCAGCGGCCAGGGCTAGACCCTCTGCTGTGCCATAGAGCAGCTGAAGTTCTCTCGCCTCGTTCTCCTCCTGCGCCTGCTGTCTGCGGAGCGCAACCTGAGCGGCCATGACGCGCTGTCTCTCAGCGATCAGAGTGCATTTGGCACACATGCAGTCCTTCCATCTGCAGTAGCGCTTATGGCCCTTCAGCGCAGACACCACCCCGTGGTTCCTGCACCGGGCGCACTTGGGCGTTCGTGGATACTTCTCCGTAGCGCGAAGCAACAGCGGCGGGCCCCTCAAGAGGCTACTGGCCATGGAAACCGGTATGGAGGCGGCAGCGGCCGCAGCAGCGGCGCCCGGATGAACCTGCGAACCTGCCTGGGAGGAAGGTGGGATCTCTGGACGAAGATCCATATTCTCCGAATCAACAAAAAGTCGATCGATAGGTTAAAATACGTGCGTCTTCGATTGGAGATGTTTCATAAGCATTGGGCAGAATCGATACCCGGCCAATTTCTTAAGCTCAGCACTTGACGAAGAACACAGCCCGAATGCCAATGTTCAAGAAGAGATCAGAAAACACCTGTGATTGCTTATGAAAGTCCGCTTTCCAGTGAGTTCTTCAACTTGTTGCCCGCAGTCCTCAAACAGCCCAAACAAACTATTTATTTTAGAAATTAAACTTTCGTTTGACACAAATAAAATCAAATTTTAAAAGACAAAAATCCATCGAATGCAATGCGAAACTAACTTTAAACTCAATGATCAGCCGAGAGCCTGAGAGAGCAGAGTTTGCTGCTGGAGCCAGTGTGAGACACTAACTTCCTCGAGAGATCTTCAGTGGATACAGATCCCTCTCGATCTATTGTTGCGCCCACGTTTTCATTAGACAAATTTGACAACAATGTGGCGCCTGTCATTGGCCAAAGGGGGAAGGAGCGATCTGATTGGCTTGTCTCTTTTTCAACTGTGTCCACCTGCGTTCTTTTCTCAAATAACAAGCATCACGCAGAGCTAAAACATAAAACTTTTATCATAAGAAATTATTTTCTAAAATACAGGCAATAGTTCCTGTAGGACAATTGACTATTGCTACTATAGCCTATATATTCTTTAAACGCGTTGTTGAACGATTTGGCATTGCCGTTTAGTCAAAATAGCTGTCTAAAACTTGATCACGGGATTTTCCAGACTTTGAACAGCAAACAAATTTATTTATTTTCTTTACAACTGAATTTTAGCCCGAATAAGTAACACGTTTTTTAACTTTTGAAAGACAAGATTTTGTTCTAAAGGTTTGGTGTAGGCTACTAGTGGAGAGCCAGTGCCTCGTAGAATGACGTCAATATCGATAAACGCAAAACGGTAAGTTGTCACGCTAGATTTTAAGGGCAATTCGTTGTTTGTAATTGTGTTTGTAATTGTTTCCTGTAAACATTGTTTCGTCTTTTGAAAATGGCATTCGTGTGTAGCATTCATTTAGAACTAGCCTAGGCTATACCCTGAATTATACAGGCTATTAGACTAAAAAATGTTCAATGTATGCTTGGAATTTCTCATCGATTTAAACAGGACATGATGATATTTGATAGTAGCCTAATTATCTGAGCTAAATTAAATTAACACTATTTATATGTACTGCTCGTCTCTCATGGTTTGACGCGATAGAAGGAATAGTGTAACGTTAGCCTATGTCAAGGCTTTGGAATACTATCTGTTTCTCTGTATTATTTGTCAAACATCTATATAATTAAAACACTTTATTTCTCCTTGGCATTGTATTAATTATTGTAAGCGGGTTCTTGTTGCTTAACCTTGTTTTTGATGTGACTCGAACATATTTCATGCCTTTGACCATTTTATATTTTTCAACGATCTTCATACATTTAAAAGTCTACCGATTGTTCAAAATACGAAAATCAACAGAAAATGCGAGTAGTAGTAGCCTAGCTATTGTTGTTGTTGTTAAATCATTATAGAATTAGACAATTTTATTGTAACGTTCAAGGAATAAAAGCGAGGATTATTATTGTAGCCTACTAGCCAGGTTTTAAAATGCCAACGAGATTCCTTTAGCTTACTTTTACAATGCTTTAATTTGTTTGTTCGTGCAGTAGCATCGTATTTTAAACAATAAGCATAATTTTCTTTATATAGCCTAGTTATCTAATATTCCAAGATTAGGGTGTCATATTTCTAACATTTTGAGCACTTTTAAAACCTTTTGAAATACTCACTGAAAATTCTTTACTGAAGGATTACTGAATTTATTCCTATAGGCCTATTCATTATTTATTTAAGGACTCTTTGTGTTCCATTTATATATATATATATATATATATATATATATATATATATATAAAATGCTGTGTATCTGTTAAAAAATAAAATGTTGTTCGCTTACATCTGCTAAAAAGCATCAGGCGTACAGTTGAATATTATTCCTTTTTCTTTCTGAATAAGTGGTTCTGCATTTGTCCAAAAATGTAAAGCAGCTTTCTGTCATCTCTCGCTGTACGGTTCTCTCTGGTACCTGGACTTTGAATTTCACGCACTCTTCGATAAAGTGATGTGGGCCTGCACTGTTTCCCATTGTTTACACACTCAATCACAGTAAGCAAATGCCATCTGTCCCCCCGCCGCTCTCATCTGCACCTTTAATTACCCAACCAGCACACTAATAGAGACGATATTAAACTAAAGCTTTTTGACATTCAAAGTCATTATCTCGGCAGCGATCTCACGCGACTGAAAATAGACAACCCGAGATCATTACAAAACCGCAAGCAGGCGTTGATTGTTCATAAACTGAGAAATGTTGAAAGCACAACTCTTAGCAATTGTGATCTTTGACAGATATGAAGAGTAAGCCGGTTTTGTGTCGCTGTTCTGTCGATGGATGGCCATGCAATGGTCACAACTTTCGGAATGTAACTAACACACACAGTCACAAACTAAAAAGTAAGTAGCCTAAGCTATAGCCTACTTAATGCCACAAAATTAAGGTAGAATCTAGAATACCAACCAATGCATTTTGAAACATTAAAGCTAATTATATAGCAGCACAATCTCAAACTTTGGCATTCACAATTAATTCTTAGCCAATACAACAACTTCTTATAAACATTAAGAACTTTTTAAATCTCAGAACAACCACAGAGGCAACTTTGATAGGTGGTTCTTCTCTCAAAGAAACCCCCTTTATTTTTAAGAGTGTAGGCTACATTTACTAATTCTGTTCATGCAGAACCTATATTTTTATGTAGTTTAAATAATGAATCCGTCCCTCAACACACTTTACTTGAAAAAGAAAACCTCTCCATTGAATGGGCGTCTCTGTGAATTCCAATTAAATGCCCCCGGGCAATTAAAACTGACTGTGGGCACTTAGGAAATTCAACATTCTTTCAACAGTTCATCAGACCTATGCATCAAAAACCCATACAAGGCTTTCACTCCCTTTAGAATCTGCACCGCTGACTGAGTTTTACACCTTTTTAAAGCGGCACAAAAGAGATGCTTGACCCGACATATGTAACAGCATGTCTCTGTTCCTCCAGCACCCCGGAGCGCTATTGTAAGGATCTTTCTCTCCGCTGATGCCCGGCCGGAGCGCGGCTGGACCCGAACTGCTTCCCCGAGGAACTCCTGCTGGAATGGTTTGAGTGCGCAGAGCGCAGCAGAGGTTAGAGTAGCAGATAAAAAAGGGGAATGAGGGTGCCGAGCGCGCGGGTTTTTACAAAACCCAGTGTATTTACACGCTTCATCTCGTCTCCAAGTCCTCATTAGGTTGTTAACCTCTTGTTCACATGAAAAGCTGCCGCGCCGCGCAGGACCCTTGAGCGCAGCAATGGCATTCCCCTAAAGGCACAGAACAAAGCGCTTAAAATAACTGCGTTAAAATAAGCTTTTATTGGCTTACTCGGGATGGACGCTTTCTCGATACGGTTTGCTGTAGTTTAAAAAATATTTTATTTTCAATAATTATTTTTTTAGCCTATATAGGCTATTCATTTTGTAGTGTAGCCTACTTATTTTAATTCATGAACTTAATCAAGCAACCAGGCCTACTTAGTGCATTTATAGCTTAATAAAACAAAATATTTCCAGTGGATATTACCAAACAAATTTATTTAATCCTCGTGGAAGACGAAATGAAACGCTTTCTACTCAATTTAAAATCTTAATGCAATCTGTTCGTGGTCTGGTGGGTAATAGTCTACACTATTTAGGCAACACTGTAAAAAAAATTGCTCTCTTAAATTTTTTAGTATATAATCAACGTGGATGTTTAAGTCATTTCAACTTAAATTGAATTAAACTGACTGTTAAATAATTAGTTGAATCTTGTAGGATGGGGCCTATAACAAAAAAAAAATCGAAAATTGCTTTAGCCTACTTATTTTGATAAGTTAAAGCAATGTAAAATCACGTTGATAATTTTTTACAGTTATATTCTGGTCTTCTTTTTTTGTTCTAACTGAACATTGTAAAACTGTCAAATTAGAATTGACTTTTATCAAGACGTCCTTATGTAACAGGCCATTTTAGAAACTTATTACTGTAATCTTACTGTATAGACGCATTTCCACTTTTTACACCGAGGATGCGGAATCTTCGATGACAGATGATGAGTGTGTGTTCAGGCAGCAGCCAATTAAAATGCGGCCTCCATCCATCCACATCTGCCTCCCTTTACAAACGAATCAAACAGAAAAGCAGGGACCCAATGAAAGAGCGCTCATTGAGATCACAGATGGAGTATAGGTTTTTGCAAGAAATTTGAGAAACACCATTGTCCCAAATCCAAACTCAATGTGGTCCCTCACAATGGTTCGGGCTTTGAGCTGCGCCGACTCAATTGGCCTTGTTTTTTAAACTTGAAGTGTTGAGCACAAAGACCGGCCTCCTAAATGTCACAACCGCTCCAAGTGGGGCTCTGCAGCGAGATGCTGTCTGAAAAAAAAGAAAAAGAACACAATTATGAAGCAATAATTACTCTGCTTTTCTTCGCACGCCACTGCGCCTATTCAGGCCCCTTTAGCCCCATTTAATGCTTTATCCTCGTCCACGATAATCCGAATACCACAGCTTTATTATTTTTTCTTCTCCCTTGCAGAATTTTTTTTTATGAGACTGAGACAGGAGTGGGAAGCGGGGTTTGCGCTAACCTGGACAATGGCCGTGTCAACTTACTTTCTGAACAACTTCTTAATATCGAAAGATTAATGAGCAGTGTCACGCTGAAAGCTGCTGAACACTACGTGAAATATTTAATAAATGCACCTGTTTTACCTTTTCTGCAATTAGGCCTTGAAAAATATTATTTGGCAACGTTAATTTTACTCAGACATAAATCAAGTAGGCTAATTGCGAAAATTCTGAGATACATTTTTTGTTTATTGAACTATTTCGTCAAATACAACCGTATAACAACATCACTGAACAAATAAATACATTTTGAATAGCATTATGTTATGCCTATTGACATTATTAATATAGCTCTGGTAAAAGTATAAAATATTTTCATTCAATGCAAAAAAAGTAATAAAACAGAAATAGCTTGAAATAAAATTAAAAACAGTTTATCCTGAAGATTTACCTCTTTTCTTTGCTGAGTAAAATGTTTTTGAAGGACAGCTGACATTTTCATATAAATTATGAATATTTACAATCAATTCATTTACTGGATGTTGTTTGTCTAGGACAAAAATGGGCATTTGTGATTTACTGGAAAATAAAGTATAAAGTTGCAACTATTTCTGATACCAGAGTTTTTTACTTGTATTATTTTTGGGGTTAAAATGGATACATCAATGGCCAAATAAGTGCTAGAAAGCCTACATTTGTCATTTACTAAGATCTAATCATTCATATACTGAACCTCATCAAAATATATAACTAAATTAAAAA